GGGGGGGGGGGGCAAGGGGAAAGGACAGCCCAGTCCCCCGTGATCTGAAGAAGCCACTTGGGAAGATGCCATCATCACGGGCAGCAGAGAGCCCAGGACCCAGGAAGGAAAGCCATACCTGCCAACCCCCTCTCCACTTGCTTAGCCCCTCTGACCTCACGGAAACGGACGAAGAGCATCCAGTATTTAGGGGCGAGAGACACTTCTGCAGAAGCCAGGGACCCTGGGAGCCACAGGCAAAGTTGTAAAGTAACTTTGGGGACAAAGGCAAGGCCCACATATGTTGAATTTCTCCAAACCAGGCAAAAGAACACGTTAGAACTGCAAACCTTCCGAGCAAACCAAAGCCCCCTGGCAGTGGGCTGGTGGTGGGGAGGGAGGTGGCAACAACCCAGAGAGAACAGGCTCTGTTTCTACTTGCCCTCCCCTTCCTGCTTCCGTAGCCTTTGTAGGCCTGGTGGCAATTAGCTTTATGAGCTATAAGTACAATATCTGGGAGGCGAAGGCAGTAATTAATGCCAGTCTGCTCTCCTGAAGGGTTCCTTCTGTCCGGTCAGAGTTATTGAGATTCAGGGAGTGAGGCTTCCGTCATGTGCAAGGTTTACAGGAATAAGTAAAGGAACAATTTAATAAGACAGTGCTAATGCTTCTAAATAATTTACCCGGCCAAAGGCAAAAGCCAATATTCCCAGTGCTCCGGATGCATTTCTTTTGCCATGGGAGGGGGAATGCGCCAGAGAGGGTCTGCATAAGCACCAGCAGCTACCCCGGGAAAGACCCACCGGGGGGGCGCTGCATGGTGCCTCTGCCCTGGATCTGTTCAGAGTCTGAGCTACCCCCTCGGACCCCATCTTCCACCTCCTCCTGCCTGTGCCAGTTACAGATCCAGATGGGCTGCTACACATACTGATGATTTTGCTAATTTTATCAATCATGGTCTGCTGAAATGCTAAGAGGCTAACAGGCCTGGGCTTTCCTGGCTGTCCTGCCCAGTTACTCTGCCCACCCCCAAGGCAGGGAAGGGGGCCAGGAGATCAATTTGATACCAAATTGATATCGGGCCTGCAGAGGGGGGAGCTCAGACGCAATTCTATGAAAATATCAATTCCTAGCCAGAGCTGAATGTGTGAGAGAAGAAACACAGACCACCCGACGGGTCCAGAACTGCAGAGAGGAAAACATCTCTCATGGTTGGGTCACAGGGTTCCTTCTGTAGGTCTATGGAGTGGGGCTGGGAAGGCAAGACAACCACTCAGCAGCCCTGGGGGTTAACGAATTCAGACCCAAATGACACCGCTGGCAGGGCCCTCGGAAACCTTTGCCAGGATAGGCATAATTAAGTTAAGAGGCCAACTCCCTGAACCGCTCAGCTCTCTCCCGGCCCTGCCACCCTCCTCCAAATTAGCTAAGTGGCCACGTGTCAAACTGTGTGTCACCTCGCACACCTGAAATTGTGTCAGTCTGAGGAGGACCAAGGGGAAGCAGAATATTAATAGATTGTGCAAAGGGGAAAGAGAAACATTTCTGAGTCCTGCCCGCAAAGCAGGCAGAGATAAATAACTGTCTGGTTTTGTATCTCATTACTTCTTCCCGCCGCCCCCGCCCAGGGCACAAAGCAATCAAGGAGCCTGGAGATTCATCATCTTCCCTAGTCGGTGGGGAACAGGGAAGACAGGGAGTGAGCTGGGCGCATCCCTCCCTAGCTGGAGAGCCGGTCTACAGTTGGGGGTGCCTGAGGAAGGCTCAGTCCTGCCTGCCCGCTGGGAAACCTGGCGTCTATCCTGAAGCTGCCGGGCTGGCCAGGAGTGAGGTCAAAACACGGTGTGTCTCCAAAACATCAGCCCTGGCGTTCTGACAGAGCTTTGCTAAGACTGCCCCTCAAATCCTGAGCTAGGTTTGTAAGTTCACTCTGGAGCTGGCGATCTGAAAGCCAACTCCAGGCCACATATGACGGAGGCCTGGTGGCCAGGACACTCTGGGGCCAGAGTCTTGGTGACATGATCCATTTTCTGCCCAGGACCAAGGCCCCAGTAATTAGCTGGAGTGTGGTGCCACATAGACCCTTCTCTGGCGAGGGTCTGCCAGAGACTAGAGGCAGTTCACACACCCCAGGCCGGGTGGGGCCTCGGAGCAGAGGCCAGGCCACTCACCAAGTAGATGCGATAGGCGTCCACGCGGCGCAGGGGCCCCCAGCACAGGTCTGTGTCGTTGTACTTGGTGTCAGCCTCCACACCACAGGAGTCATTGCCAGTGGCGCTGCTGATAAAGAGAACAGTGGCTCAGAGGGGTCTCCCTGCTTGGCTGCAAGCACACAGAATGTAACGTTATTATTAGCAACCACCGAGCCCCCACACCCCCACAGCTGCTTTCGGCCCAACAATCTGACTTTCCATGAACCGCGTATTCCTGTCTTCTAAGGGGCCCCTAGGGGGACTCCCAGTCACCTTCCCAATGGGGCGGGGCAGGGGACATCGGTGTGGAGGGGTCTCTGGAGGACAGAACGCACAGCTGGCCGGGGCCGTGCTGAGGGATTCGCTTGGTGTTGTGTGTTTCTACCCTGAAAACCCCGCCCTGACCGCCTGAGGAAGCCCCTGTGGCTGCATGCGGGTGGGGGGCGAGGGGGGCACCTACCAGGACACCTGCATGAGGGAGAAGGGCACGGCGGCAGCGTAGATGGCCAGGTCCCCGTACAGGTAAACGATGATGCAGAAATAGAACAAGTTGACCCCCACTGAAAGGAGCAAAGTCACCGGTCAGGGAGCCATGGAGAGGCGCCTGTAGTCTTCGAGAGCTCAGTTTCCACCCCTCCCATTCTTCAGTTCTCCAGGCTGCTATTGTCCCCAACAGGAATGAGAAAATGACCCACGTCCTCTTTCTTGTTCTGGCTACACTGTAATGCTGGCAGGAGACACACCTGCTCATGACTTTCACCCGGGAGGGGCTAAGTGAGGCTCAGAGAGCTTCCAAATCCATACAGGTGCCAGGTGAGTGTGAGGCATGGGCTGGCTGAGGAGGGGCCAGAAGCACCTTTAGGCTCGTGCTAGGGTGCCTGGGGAAGGGGGGGACAGAGAAGGGGAGAGGAAGAGGGGGAGAAGGAGAAGAGATGTGTGAGTCAGGGGCTGGGCCAGGGCCCCCTTCACAGCTAAACACAGGCTCTAAGACAAAAGGCCGCTCCTGAGAGCAAAGAGAAGGTAACAGGAGAAGGCCCAGCCTCTGAAGCTGAAAATCAAGAGGGTAAAAGCTCTTGATTTCCAAAGACCAATCGCCAAACCCCGTGGGGCAGGGGTGGCCTGGGTGCTGGGAGAGGGTGCAGTAGGAGCGGTGTTCCAGGCAGGCTCACTTGCCTTCTTACGAAGCATCTGCAAGGGAGGATGCTGGCTTTGGCAGGGGCACCTGGGAGCTCTCTCTGTAGAGGGCCTTGGCCCCTCTCCTGACAGGAGGGGCCTGGATTAGGAGCTGGGAGGGTAGGCTCAGGTCCTGATTCCACTGGTCTCACTTCCCGACCCACCAGACCACCTCCAATCCTGCTCAGTGAGGACTCCACCTGTGCTAAGTGCCCGATGGGACTCCAGCTATAAAGACTCTGAAAAAGGTCTGGGCCCAGCAGCCTCAGGGTCACAGCCCCAACAGCCAGTCTCAAACGCCCGTTCAGATTGATGGCTCATTTAGATGTTACTCTTAAGCTGCAGGCTTTGCTGGAAACAGAAATAAAAATGAAGTGACAGCTCCCTTCTACTGCTGGTAGCTTGGAAAAGCCTCCAGGGCCCCCAGGGGGAAGCCGGGACATGTTTCTCCTGGGCTATGTGAGGTTGGCTTTGCTCCTAGGAGTCTGGGGGGAAAAGACCAGGAAAAAACAGTTCTTGAAAGAACCCAGGAGGGCCTCAGACAGCCTCACTGTCCAAACTCAGCGGTCCCTGGGGCACGCCTGCCACTCACACCCGGGCTCCAAGCACAGACTGTGCCCCAGCTTGTCTTTCTGCTCTGACACCGATGCTCTCTGCAGGGAGGACAGTCCCTCCCCACTCCCAACCTGTCCTCCCCCTGCCCACGGGATCCGGGTCAGCTCTGTTTATAAACTGCCACCGGCCCTCCCTGATCAATAAATTTCATTACTAGTCACAAAATGGGAAGATCAATGAATTTCCTGAGAGGACAGCAATGACGAGGCCTGGCATTTCTAATTACAAGAAATGAGTCTGTGCTCCAAGGAGGAGTGGCAGCTCTTCTAAAGGGAAAGGTGACAATCTGTAAATTAGAGCAGAGCAGTGGTTTTCAACTGGGGGCAATTTTGTCCTGCAATCCCTACTGGGGACATCTGACAATGTCTAAGGACATTTCTGGTTGTCGTAGCTGAGAGGTGCTGCTGGCATCTAGTGTGTAGAGGGCAAAAATGCTAGTCAGCAACCAACAGTGCACAGGACAGGCCCCTCGACAAAGAATGATCCAGCCTAAATGGGAACAGTGCTAAGTCTGAGAAACCCTGGGGCAGACAGGAAGAAGGCCACCTCTAAGGGGGTGGCTGCTCTCACACACACTTTAGGTAAACTAGGAGCCTAGTGCAGGGGGGAGGGAAGGTAAAATCAAACCACAAGTTCCTAGAGTTCTTAAAGAAATCAGGGCAGACTACAAAACATGAAACTTAGAAAGGAGGTTTAAAAGGTGTATATCTGGCCCAGCTGGTGTGGCTCAGTTGGCTGAGCATTGTTCCATGCACCAGGAGGTCGCAGGTTTGAGTCCAGTCAGGGCACATGCCCAGGTTTTGGGCTCGAACCCTGGCAGGGGGTGTGCAGGAGGCAGCTGAAAGATGTTTCTCTCTCATGGGTTTTTTTTCTCTTTTTCTCTCTTCCTCTCTCTAAAATCAATAAAACATACATATATTTTTTTGTAAAAGGTATATGTCTTCCCTCCAGTGTGCGTTTTATTTCAAAAGCTTAAATTTGGAAGGAGACTGCATAGGCTTCTTGGGGAAAAGGTTAACGCTCTCTCATCTTAGTTTAATGAGATGGGAGGAGGTAGAAATGAAACTTATCAAGACAGAAGTGGACAGACATGACCAATCTGGTTTTCATGAACTCTGGAATCCCTCTGTGAGGCTGGTACGGGAGATAGGAGCACACACTCAGGCAGCCTTTGGCTGCTGATGACAATCTTTTGGACCAGACAGTCCAATCACAGCACCAGTGATCAACAGAATGCTCAATGTCCTGAAAAGCAGCCAAGAAGCTCCCAGTTTCTACAATCCCCACCCCCACCCCCACC